TCTTTTGTTTGAAATGCGAATATCAAAAAATCGAGTGGGTACCCACAGTGGAATGAGAAAAAGGATTCAACGACCGCCTCCACTTACGAACTCATTTCGTTTTTGCCCACAATTCTTATCTCGAAACTCTGCTTCACATTTTTATTCCATGTTAAGTCAATTGGTTTCTAGTGTAAGATTACAAAATATATTTATGTGCATTCATTACAAAGTTTTTTAATTCGAAACCCTCTGCCTTTTTTTTTTTTTGCCTCTATGGAAATCATCATTAAGGTATCTCAGGGGTGTTAACTTCCTCTAGAGGTTTGAAAATATAAACAATATTCAAATACATATAACTCTTTGAAATTAAAATTAAACAAATCGAATCTTTTACACATTATTTATAAAGGAATGGGGCTTCAGAAAAGTATAAAATGTTTAAAATATAATCATAATTTTAAAAATTATAAACATGAAAATATAAGAAACATTTCTATAAGAAATATTAATTAAGTTTTACGTTGCGCATGCTATTTTCTAAAATAGTAGCTTTAATTACTAGCAATAAAATGATTTATAAAGTTTTATGTATCCTTATTACACTGTAGTAATTTCATATTTGTAGAATAATAAATTATATTTTTAAAAAAAATAAAAAAATTAAATTCAATATTGTATTTCAAAATATTTTTCAAATATTTTGAAATAAAAGATATGTTGCTCTTAAATGATGTAGGGTTTTAAGAGTATGATACATTTTATATAATTCTGTAAAGTTTTATACATCAGAGGCTACTATTTTAGAAAATACGTCCCAAACGAAAAATTATTTAATATTTTTACATATTTTCTATGTTATAATTTTAAAATTATAAATTTTTTAAATTTTTTCCTTTGTAAATAATGTGTAAAAGATTGAATTTTTTAAATTTTAAATTTAAAAAAATTATCCCTGTTTGAAAGTTGTTTTATACTTTCCCCCCCTAAAGGGAAAGGTTAACCCCCCTGAGACTTCTTAAATAACTAAATACCGTATTTATTCGAATCTAAGCCCTTTAACCCAAGTAGCACCAAAATTCTAAAATTTTTTTTAAAAAAGGTGTTGTCATCGATTCTCCCTACCCCCACCCGCTGTTAAGTTTTTTGAGAAAAATCGTTCAATGCGACACTTCAGAAATTTAAAAAGAAATTTTTTAATGAAAATAATAAGAAGTTAATAATATAAATTTATTTTACCAGTTTTAAAAACTTTCAATTACATATACATGAATCTGTAATAACTCTATCCGTCGGTATCATGTTTCGAAAATGATTCGTAGCTCCCATTGTCACAGTTGACTTTGGAATTGGTGCCGGCGTCGCCATTTTCACACAAGGTGTCGTCTTTCTTATCACCCAATGCATTTATTATGCAACATTTAAAAAAAGAATGCATTGTAGAATAATGTAAAAGATTTTTATTGAAGACTGTTGAATATTTATAAGCAAACGTTATACCATTTTGCTTACGCCATCGACGTACATTTGTTTCATTCGTGTCAAATTTTTTGTACCCATGTTTTTTGTTTTTTCCATATAAAATGGTCCCCTTTCCCCCCGTATCATTGACTCGTCTTGCCGCTAGCGATATCTTTGATGCTTAGGTGATTAAAAGAAAGCGTATACAAAAAAATTTCCTAAATACGAGCAGATAACGATGTTTAGGATAGACTGAATACTAGAGATAAACGGCGGAATGGGATAAGTCATCAATTTTTTCAAGTGAAAAGGACCCATTTTCCCCCTTTAAAAAGGGGGATTCCTTTTCCTCATCCAACAAAGTTTTGATTCTGTGCATCTGATTTTCAGAAGCATTAAACTGGAAAAATAGGGGGCAGATTGGTAAATGGGAATCCTATAAATTAATTTTAAAGTTCGATTTTTTTTTTAAAATTAATATTGTCATAGGTTGATTCGTTTTCTTACATCGTTTCTCTTAGACAATTAACAAAATCCCATCCAGTGCTAATCGAATTTTAACACAACGAAGTTGTTCTAAATTCGTTTAAGGAAGCTTTCTAAATTCATTAATGTCGTCATTTTCTAAAAAGGAAGCTTTCTAAACTCGTTAATGAAGACGTTGGGGGCTTTAAAACTCAACTTAATTTTCTTCGGCCCTGCTTGTTAACCAATGGTTCGAATTCTTCTCTGCTGACCCCCCTTATATCACGATGTGAGGTATGATGTTATTCGTAGTTATATTTCATTTTATCACTAATTTTATTGAATTGATTACTCTTCAAGATGTCCATTGTTACTTTCCGAGTGAGTGTTTAAGGTCAGGTCATCTTCAATACTGACCGTAGTTCAAAATTATGAGGTCTGTCCCTAATAGTCCTAGAGTTGCTTTATTGCGCGATGTTAATAAAATATTCACTCAAAGCAAAACGGGGGTGATTGGCGAGGGACCTCGTAATTTTGAACCGCAATCAAGTAAAGGGAACAATACTTGATCTAGCGCTCCACTTTCCTATCTCCCATGCCACACCAACGAGATTATTTTGAGCCTTGATAGATTTAACGTGCGTTGATCAGTCCCTCAACATTGGGGTGTGGCTCCGGTAGCCCCTATATATAGTGGTCAAGGTAAGGTAACGGACTCGTGGCTGGAATGCCATGAGTTCGAGCCTCGTACCACTGAGGCTCCAACGTGTAGAGAGCAGTGATGCACGTAAAATATGTCGAACCTCAAACATCCTCCCGTTGGCGTGGTGTATAAGTCAGGAGAGGAGGTGCCAGATCAGGTGTCGTCCTCGTCACTTGACCATGGTTCAAAATTACAAGATCCATCGTTAATAGCTTTGTTTTTGGATAATTTTTTTTGTATGAATTTGTAAAAAAGTTGGGATATGTATACTCTTTCTACCATATCTCTTATACTCGTTATGTTATTATTTTTATATTTGCTTTGTATATTTGTATTACGTTCACGCACACGTCTGTATATCGTGCAGTTATCTTTAAATTTGTATTTTGTGATTTTACTGTCTTCTACTGTTTAAAATGTAAACTTTGATTTTTTTTCCAATTAAGGCTGGATGTGGGGATGGTTTTTTCCGAGGGATCGGTTTGTAGCTCTAAACCCTTTTCGGGTGAGCTTGGTTCTTTTGGGTATTCCGCTAATAGCTCTCGTGTTTCTCATAGAGCGACATTAATAAACACTCCCTCCCTTATACTATAAAAGATAAAACATAATCCCCCTAATAGGCTGCATAATGGCAACTAAGCCTTTGCAAACACGCAAAATCCCCAAATGTGAGAGCCATTTTGTGGTAGCACTATCTAGTGGCGGCTCTCGCTACGGAATCCCTATCCCTTAGGGATTTCACATCATACCTAAGGGATAGGATCAATTGACGGGAAATGTTAAAATAACGTGTCTCTTCAAGGTCATTTCCATGATGAAAGTAAGTGTGACTTTATCAAACCCTGAACTGTTTCAGTGAAATGATGAAATGAACTAGTCAGGATTTGCATTGGCAAAATGCTTTTTCCCAAGGGGAGACACCTGTGGGTCAAGTCCTTGTACTTCCTAACCATACAGGTAGTACTATCGATCCCTTAAATATCAACCCCATATCTTTAAAAAAATGGATGACTTGTTCATTTTCTCATTTCACTAAAATAGTTCGGGGATTTGATCAAATCACATACTTACATAAGGGAAATGACCTCAAAGAGACGTTATTTTAACATCTTGCGTGAATTGATTATCTCCCTTAGGGATTCGATGAAAGTCCTAATTTCATCATTTTCCTGCGACATATATAAATCAAAATGACGTTCTCAAACATATTTTTACTTGAATCAAAACTTTTTCGTGAAGTTTCTTCTTCTTTTTTTGAAAAATATTTAATACTAAAGATCTTCCCGAAAAAGGTACCACGCAAATTCCTTTTTTTTTTCTAAACAGGAAGAAATATGCCGCCACACACGAGTGTCGAGCAATACAAGTTCCGACTTTCGTGTTCCGAATACCAATGCAGGAAAGCGAACCCGAAAGAATAATTTTCTCTTTTCACTTCAAAATATCCATGCCATTCCGCGGGCGTTCCAGATTCTTTTCCGCACACTGCTTTGCACTTCCACTGCCATAATTTACAGCGTACAAAAGATGTCTCTCAAACACGTTGCAAAACATCGCCATATGTAGTCGTACCAGTTTCCTTTATTTTGTATAAAAAAAAATCTAAAATGCTTTTTTTAAACAGATTAATTTAAAATCGTATAAAAATAGCAACAACACGTATTTATTGTTTTCTGGCGTTCGACTATTTTTTTAAAGAAAGTTTTCCTCCAAAAAAAATGTGTTTTGTCATGAATGATAATTGTTTCGATTCTCAAGAGGTTTTTCTGTAGCACAAGGTCAGATTCTTTCAATGAGAGAATGAAATCATTATAAATTCCATCGGTTTTTCTAGAAAGAACATTGAATGAGGTTTTGTTTATGAATTTTTGGGGGCCATCTTAGTGGTTTCTAAGCCAAATATACATATCTACTCATCTTACTTGCAAACAAACCAATATTGCGTTTTAGAAGCTGCATTCTTGATATAGCCCGGAAAATGTTTTGACTGACAAGGAAACCTTAAACTTGTTTTTATAGATTTGCTAAAATGTAAACAAGACTTACGTTACAGTAATTATATTTCTAATCACGTTTTAAACCTAATTAACAAAATTTACTATGTATTATCTCCTTTTTCATTTCCTACTCTTATTTTAGTTCACATTCTCTCTCTCTCTATATATATATATATAGTATATATCTTGTTCACAAATTTTCAATCGTTAATAAAATACTTCTATTTATCCATTCAAGTTCAAATACGTTTTTTAAAAATTGTAGTGGATGACATTTGATGTTAATACAGATTTTTCAAACATTAATTCATTAATTAAATTTAATTAATGAATAAATTATAACAAACAAAAATAATTGTCCAACACTATGTATAAAAAGGAAAATAGCTCGTTGTGTCCCTGTAGCGCAAGAGATAGCGCGTTGGACTTTTAATCCAAAGGTAGTGGGTTCAAATCCCATCTGAGATGGCCCAATTTCTGAGAATGTGATTTCTTTTTACAATACCATTTTTTTGGAATAATTAAATTTAATTAAGGAACAAACAAAAATAATAGTCTAACACCCTATATAGAAAGGAAAATGGAAAAAATTGCTTTCTATTTTGCCACTTAGTATTGTGATTCTGTCATATGTTTATACATATCTCTATATTAATTGTAATTATTTAATAAATAGTTGCTAAAATTAAAAAATTTTTCTTTGTTGACTTAAGCAGGATTTGACTTGATTTTTTTTAAAATTACTTGTGTAAGTTATGTTTTCACAGAATCAAAAGAGCTAAAATGAGTGACGTTGAGTCGTTTGAATCAACAAAAAACATTGCACTTTTTATGCTTAACTATTTTATTTAATTTTTGAATAAATGAGTATCAATTAAATTATATCCGTGGATAAATTATAATTATATTAAATTATATTTAACCTGACTCTATCAAATAAATATTATAGTAAAGCTTTTTCCTTTCTCTTTTTTGTCTTGCAATCTCTTAATAGTAATCTCTTCGAAGTTTCGGACCCACTTTCCGAATCTTTTCCTGCGAGATACTTTGGTGGCCGAGTCCTGGTGCCACTAAAGACCCATGGTCGTGGTAGCTAAGTGGTCATGGTCACGGAGTCGTGGACGGCGTGTCATGAGTTCGAGTTTGATGTCGCTGAAGACCCGCTGTGTAGAGAGACTGATGCACGTTAACTCTATCGAGGTTGAAAGCTCTCCCGTTTGCTTCGTATGGAAGTTCGGCGAGAAGAGTGGCAGCTCAGGTGTCGTCCTCGTCGCTTAACCATGGTGCAAAATTACGAGGTCCGTCGTCCTCATTCACTTGTAAAATATCGATTATAATATTCTGCTTCATAATATTTTAGTCCTATTCACAGACTAATTTCTTACAATTTTTAAAAGGGCTTTCGGAGTGGGAGGTATATACAGGCGGATCCAGGACGAATTCTGAGACTGGTCTCTCTGTCTGTATCTTTTTCCGGGGAATCCTTAAGAGACTTATCTTTTGAAACTCAAAACCTACAACACTGTCTTTCAGGCAGATATCCACAATTAGAGGTTCTCTGCCTGTTGGGCAGCAGCTCATAATATTAGACTGTCCGTATAAATATGAATTCTGTCTTCAGTTTGTGATACCCCGCCCTGAGGTATCATCTCTTCATCCACGCGACCAAAATTTGTAGGAATAAATGATTGACCACTCGAACTCTCCATAATAAATATAATTTTTATTATCGTCTCAATATATATTAATTAATTCAACACACAAGTCTTACTAGAAGATCAGATCAGGAATGATACGACGTAATTATCAATACTAAGTTAAAATAGCGCCTGAAATCCTACTCACTATCTTTATGATAAATTAACCTCTGAATCTTTATCTATAGTAGATTCCTTAACAAGCTAGGGTCCGTTCTATAGTTAAACTTTAATAATCAATCTCTTACCGATATCACATGGTGATCAGCAACCTTTATGTCTTCCTCTTGTATATTTTATTCTTTTAATATTAATCTTCTATATATATTATTATCCGACTTGAGAGAGAGATCCAGTTTCTATTCAATTTTCCAGCTTCTAGCCGACTTCTATATGACGCCTATATATCTCCTACATGACTCTCCGGCTTCCAGCAGACTAACTCGCGAATGCAAAAGCTCCAATTTTTTTTTCATTCACTAATCTGCATATCGTGGTTTCTTCTTGAGATGGTTGCATTGAAATGCTATTCTGGCCCCAAGAGGATTAGTTAGAAAGCGCGATAAAGCGCCGTCACAAGTTTCCCTCTTTCATAATTTAACAAATAAATTCTCCTATTTAAATTTATTTAAAAATAAACTTTTTATATACCAAAGTTCTTACATTTTTTTGGGCTAAAGCCCATTATGAAAATTACTACTACGACATTGCGGATTGCTGAGCTAAACTTGCCATTTCAGATGGCAAAGAGGTATATGCCCTCACTCCTATGTCTTAAAAATTCTAAACAATGCACTTATTGAAGACTGGGAGAATTTATGGACTAATTCTAATACCGGTCTACAGGTCAAAAATACTTTAACGACACCTAATATTAGTATTAACCCTTATCCCAGGCAAATTGTTCAGTTTTTAACTAACCATTGCCCGTTCCCATATTATTTGCATAGATTTAAATTAAAAGCTAACTTCAATTGTCTCTGTAATTTCATTGGAGATGCTGATCACTTTGTGTAAGCATTGCAGTTTCACCAAAAATTATTACCTTCTGAACCCACCGATATATCCTGTAAATTATGGTTTAGCTCTTCAGTCAACAATACGAATATTCATATGAAGTTAAATTCTTATTGCAAAATATAGCATCGCCGATAAAATACAATAATTTTTTTTCGGTTGATTTCTTTTTTTGAAGATAAAAAGAAGATTCTAATATGAATCGTCTTCCTTAAGTTACTGGATTCATTTTTTAAACTGAAGGATAAATTAAGGTGAATGAGTATCATCAAGAAATGTTGGCGTCAGCTGAAGATTATTTTGCGATTGCTGGAATGATATTTTTTTCCCCACTTCTCTTGCCCTACATACTCGTATGTGTTCTTTTTTAATTATTATATTATTATAATTATTATTCTTGACTTTGTACATTTGCATTGTGTGATTGTGTATTGTATATTTGCCTTTATATGTATATAATTCGTATTGTGTTATTATTTATGTATATCGTGATTTTACCTTTCATTTGTTATTATGCATGTGTGATGCGAATATATCTATAATTTGTATTATGTGGTTAAATATGTGTATTGTGAATTTGCCTTTGATTGTGTACTTCTATAAAAATGTAAAATAAGATTTTTTTTCAATAAAACTGAAGGCAGGGGTGGGGTTGTTTACCGGGGAACCGGTTTGTAACTCTAAATCCCTTTTGGGTGAGTTCGGTTCCCTTGGTATTTTGCCAAAAACTTTAGAGTGTAACGATAACTAACACTCACTCACGCCAATAACCATTTGTGTAAAAGTGCTGATGTACTTTAATTCGGTCAAGGCTCAAAGTCTTCACGTCGTGTGGTTGGGAAGTTTGGAGAATCAGATGCCAAATCGGGTGTTTTCTTCACCAGATCATAGCTCACCGAGGTTCTTTGCCAATACCCTTGGTGTAGTTTCGAAGTAAGATGTTGTTAAATAAATGATCAATCATTCAAGAGACGCTCCTTTGACCACATTTAAATGTCTACAACACTAGATTAAGTTATCTTTCACCTTTCTCCTCCAAGTTTCACTCAGGAATCCTTATTTACCTTATCTCTTATTCCCTTCTATTCACTTCAATTCTATTTAAATAGCTATGCTTCTTTGTATATATTATTGTTCATTCAGAAGGTGAAGTGCTCATATTAAACAACTCAATTAATTAAGTAGCTCCGGAGGTTAGTCAAGGGATTTATGTATGAGAAGCCGTTGCAAATGGAAGCTTTTGGTTAAAATTTTAAACGAACAAAAAGTATGATGTTTTGTAGCTAAATAAATTCTGTAAACCAACTTTTATTTCCAAAATAAATGACAATAATATAAAAAATAGTTTTTAAGTCAATTCCTACTTAGATCAACAACGAAAAATTTTATTTTTAGCTACTTTTTATTAAATAGTTAAAATTAATATAAATATGTATATACATAGGACAGAATCACAACATTAAGTGGTAATTAGTTTTTAATTATCATTAAAAAGTATCGTTTGCCTTTTTAATTTCAGTCCAACTGAAAAACAACACGTGAAAAAAAACCTTTTTCAAGTTTTGACAAAGTCCCCCAAAAAGGGGGTCGCTAAGTCCCCAAACGTGGTTTAGGTAATTTTTAAAAATTATTTTAAAATAAATTAATTTTTATTAATTATAATTAAATTATTGTATTGTCATCCAAAATGATCCTGTATAAAAAAATTTCAGCTCAATTCAGCGTTTTAAAAATTTGTTTTTTATTAACGATTGAAAATTCCACCAAGATAAATAAATAAATATACAAATATATAAATAAATAAATATATAGAGACAGTGAGAGCTAATATAGTAGGAACTCTGAAAAATAGTAATAATTAATTTTGTAAAAAGGGATTCAAGTAGTTTACGAGTTTAGTAAAGCGCAGAATTGCCGTTTTGCATATACAAATTGCATGTGTTTTTCTGATAGTCTGTTATGTAATACTTATTTTAAATGAATTCCTGTCTTGTTTTAATCTTGAAAATTATATTACTTTATTTTACATAAGGTTTGATGCGTAAATGCTTATTATTTAATATATAAATCATTATATGCCTTTAAAGTTTTTTTTTAGTTAACTTAAAATGTCATTACCATGTACTCTTTGCACTTACACACACACACAGTCTGTTCAGTTTTTGTTAGTATTGGACATTTTACAGAACTCGCGTGTCAAACTTGAAACAAACCAAAATCATCCTCTTGCGAATAATTATTTCAACCTTTCGAAAAGCGAAATTTTTATAGGGATGCTTTTTCTTTAAATTATCTTCTGTCGGTAATTAAAAATGCAATTTTTAAACACATGCTCATTAAAATAATTCACTTAAAAATGATTTAAATGGAGTCTTTTGTCATTTCTATTTTTTTTCCTTCCCCTCACAGTTACCACAAATGATTTAATAACTACTGCCACTGAAATAATTAAAGTAATTTTTTTTTCTGTTTTATTGAAATTAATTTTAAGCAAAAAAAAATGTCATTCAATCTTTTTTAGAGGGTTTTTTGGGTTACCCATTATAAAAAGGAAATAAACTTATTTTTAATGAATTATGAGTATATTTTAATAATCAGGCACTGCGAGTAATAAATTTCAGAAATGTGTTTTTTTTTTAAATGGGTATAATGGCCACATGAATATAATTATGGCATTAGTTTGTTAATGCTTTCAAAAAATAAAACTTGATTTGAATGAATGTAAATTTGAACTCCCGAATACTGACTTTATGT